GAAAGCGAAACGAAGAGATTCGCAATATGGCAGGATTGAAAGATGACCTTATCACAAAAATTGATAGGGGCGTACTCCAATGGTTTGGGCACGTTGAACGAATGAGTGAAGACCGAATGGTGAAGAAAATATATAGAGCGAAAGTAAATATTAAAAGGTGTCGAGGTAGACCGAGACTAACTTTCGAAGACCATGTGAGCAAATTGCTCGAAGAGGGGAGGGTCAAGAGTACTCGGATACCTAGACGTGCATGTATGAAGAAGTTAATGAACCTGAAAGAAGCGAAAGAGGTATCTAAGGATCGTGACACTTGGCGATCTGTTCTCTCTGGCTACCCCGTTAGGGAATGTGCGTGAAGATAAGTAAGTAAGAAACGATGCATTCCATCTTAGCCCTCAAGGGTGACAACGCATCTGCGCTTTGATTCTTAATTGAGGATAAATGTAGATGTCTATGGGTCACAGCATCCACTTACCATCAGGTGGACTGTGTGCTCGTTTGTTACCCTTATTCTATAAAAGAAATATCAGTTCATTTAGAACGTAGGTAATGATTTCAGTTGACGTAAAGATTTTCAGATTTTTTATAAATTAAGTTTTTTTGTCTAAATCCAACCATCATTGATATAATAAACCTGTGTAAAATTATATTGATTCATAATGAGGTTCGGATTCTGTATTTTTACATTTTATAAAATTACATTGATAACTAAGGTTATTAGAATTAAAATATAAAAATACATAACAAAATAAAGTGTTTTGTCATGAGTGAAAAGAGTAGAAATAAAAAAAATATCTTCAACACGGTTCTCGTTTACAAGTTTAAAGTTTGAGGTAGTCGGTTTTTTCTTTACAAAGTACCCCTTTGGGGACAAAGATAATAATAATAATAATTTTTATTGCCTATAAAACACAGTTACATTCACGTTAAAACAAAAGAACATTATAATTATTTGAGACAAAAGGAGACGGCTCAGCTTTGTCTGTAACGAGATACAGATCTCATACAGAGCCTGAGGTGTTGTGCGGGTGTCCAAAGTAGCAGGCTCCCCATTTACCTGACTTACACTTTTAAACTACGTACAAAGTAATTAAATATGATAAAATCGCAAATACAAAAAAAAATTAAAAACATTAAAGACAAAATAAAAACATTTAAAAATATGCATAAAACAACCATTACGAAATGAACTAACAACAGATTCAAAAACAACACGGGAAATAGAAAATATAAAATAAACTTTCCTTTCTTTGAACTGTTGTGTGTGTGTGCGTGTGTGTGTGTGTGTACGTGTGCGTGTGTGTCGTGTGTAGTGTGTGTGTGTGTGTGTGTGTGTGTGTGTGTGTGTGTGTGTGTGTGTGTGTGTGTGCGTGTGTGTGTGTGTGTGTGTGTGTGTGTGTGTGTGTGTGTGTGTGTGTGTGTGTGTGTGTGTGTCCTTATTAATTTTTGACAAAAAGTCCCGTAAATGTAAAAACTTAACATAGGGATGTTTCAAATTCTCTGCAGCGAGTTGTCTTTTTAACAGAGCCAATTTATATTTGGCTTCGAAGCAATCTATTGACATTTTCTTTCTCATAGGTGGAGGGAGGTCATTCTAAATTTTCGCTGTAGTGAATTTGAAACAACTTCTATATCTTGCTGTTTTGTGCGCGGGTGTGGAGGAGCATTTGAGAACGAATACTTCGACAGGAAATATCTTTGATCCAGGTGAGTTTTTCGAAAAGATATTCTGGCTTTTTGTTTCAAATTACCTTTTGGACTATCGAAGCATAGTGTAATTCTCTCCTGGCACCGATATTGAGTATGCCTTTTTTATTTAAGTATGGGGTTATAAATTGTCTTCTTGGTACATTACAACAGTATCGAACACAAGCATTTTGTACTCTCTGTATTGAGAGTGATTAACTTAAATTGTCAGCTCATACTCTTTCGGTATGAGCTGACAATTTAGGGCCAAAGACTGAGCTGCAGTAGCTCAATGCGTTAACACCAATGAGTCACACAAGAGAAAGCGTAGGTCCTCTTTAATATACGCTCTTATTTTGTTTAAAGTTTTAAGTTTAATGTACGAACTTCTTATCTTGTTATTGATGTGTTCTACAAATTTCTGCTCTCCGACAATTGCTAATTGACTGCAGCAAAAACTAAGTACTTAATTACCACGTTCGCTCAGAATACCAACGTAATTTATACTGAGCTATTTTTCAAAGAGTAGCCAAATTTTAAACGTAAATTCAAGTATATAAATAATGATATACCGTTATCGCAGTATTGATGGAAATACGGGGAAATAAGGCTTCTATTTTTATTTGTAATTATCCCAAATTGAATGTGATTTATGGGCAACAACGTTTTTGCCTACCGATCGACCCTTACGAATGTGTGCGCAGTAAAATTAGTTGAAATAATGCATTACCACGCATTTTGAATTCAAAAGATAAAATGGACAGAATATTTGAGATTTTTTTAATTAAATTTTTTTTACCAATTGCCTATATTATTTATTCCGAACCTCCTCCGCAAATTTGGCCAGTTATTGCAAAAAACCCTGTACAATGCGTATATATTTGGTTAGCGCTCAGAACCGGAGACTCATTTTGAAGAGGCATTCCATTTTCATTCTACAGGTGTAATGTAGATGAGAGACAGCGTCTACTAATCAAGTGGACAGTGTGCACGTTCCTCACCTTTAGTTCTTACAAAAAAAAGTTTCGAAAAGCAACGTTTTGTCTTCGTTTAGATAAATTAATTAGAGATGGGCCGAATATGGATTTCACCGAATACAAATATACGGCCGTAAGTTCGGAAAAACTTTTACCGAACCGTATATTCTGCCGAACATTATTCATCACATGCATTATGTTTTGACTATTTTTGTGAGAAAAAATTATTTGGTTGTATTATTCTTAGAATAAAATGTTAATTATATCCATTATTTGGACTTATTTTAGAGAAACTGACGACAAAAGTAAAGTGAAATGTACTAATGTAATGTAATGTTTCTTTGTTTGATTCCAAAAACATTTTATCAAAGCTTTCTATTTGCTATAACTGGAAATAAATCTACAGTGCCTCAAAAACATGACGCTATACAAGTGGATTTAACCCGAAATAAAATATACTTTCAACGGTTAAATTTGTGCTAAAAAAGAAAAAAGCCGCCGAATACGCCGAATACCGAAAAATATTCGCCCTATCTCTAAAATAATACTTAAATAATATATATATATTTTCAACACAGTGTGTCCCGACATTTACGAAGCAACTTGTTCAAAGTTTTAAATATTAACGATGAAGTTATTACTTATTGCCTCAGAGCTGCCGATGAATTGAACATTCTGTTTAATTTCTTCATTATACCAACAAACTAGTAAAGCTTACGTTAAAGAATTCTAAATAGCTATAACGCTTATATGTGTGTATATAAAACACAAAAAAGTTTCTACCTATGTCTATAACGGACATAGGTAGAAATTTTCGCAACAAAGTCTATAAGACTTTGAAACAATCCAATCGATGTGCTTAAAAACGGAAATACAGCAGTGTACGAGGGTGGTAAGTAAGCAGTTGGACCCCCGGCCGGTAAAGGAGTTCCACCACTTATTCGGTGCCGTTCTTGTTCAAATACGATCAATAGACGGTATCATTATATTCTACTCAGAACTGTAATTGCTTACGATGGCTCATTGTTGTAGTTGTGCGTCATTCATTTTATATATAGGTATCGATCGAAGACCACCACCATAGATAGGGGATTTTCGCTATAGTTGCCAAACTTGGCAGGCGTATTGCCAAACTTGGCAGGCTTGTTTCCAAACTTGGCAGGCGTGTTGCCAAACTTGGCAGGCGTGTTGCCAAACTTGGCAGGCGTGTTGCCAAACTTGGCAGGCGTGTTGCCAAACTTGGCAGGCGTGTTGCCAAACTTGGCAGGCGTGTTGCCAAACTTGGCAGGCGTGTTGCCAAACTTGGCAGGCGTGTTGGCAATCGCAGTTTTTAAATTTATTTAAGTTGTTATCAAGAAGACGCTGCTGCCGATTACCAGTTTCAGTTTCCCACTATCCCATCTTCCGATACTCACAGAACGATATGGCGTCGTGTATATTCTTACACCGCCACTACACGGCCAAAGAAAAGATACGAAAATGAGCTTATTTAGTAGTATCCATATGGATAAGACTTCAGATAATCCACTAACCCGTTTCGTATCCGGGGTGTCTTAAAAGGCGATAACAGGTAGCCAGAATACCAGCATAAAACAGCAGCTTAATGCTGTTTTGTTTAGCATTGCAAGTTTACAGAATCGGATACCCTTTTACTGGAAATGAGGTATTTCATCTTAGTCCTCAGGGGTAACAACGCATCTGCAGTTTGATTCTTAATTGAGGATAAATGTATCTATGGGCCACAGCATCCACTCACCATCAGGTTGACTGTATGCTCGTTTATTAATTATTCTATAAAACTATAAAATGTGTAACTCATATTATTTTAAATTGTGTGTTTGTTAAATATTACACCTACAAATAATTAAATAGAAAAATATCTGGAATCAAAATATTCAACACATATTTTTAGCGCCTACGTATTTTATACGAGCAACATGTGTTAGACCGAGATTAAGCGAACCAATCGTTATTAGGCGATTAATTTTTTCTTATCGCTAGAAGTAAACGTGACTACACATTGAGTTTGCATCAAATCTAGACTTTTCTCATAGGTTATATTATTAAATGTGCAAATATAATGCTCGTAAAACGTTATTACTTGCTATAAAATATGATAACAACCAAAAAATCACAATTATAGCAGTAACTGATTTCTTTCTAAATTCTTAAAATGGCGATGTCTTATTTTGAAATAAATTGGAATTTAGAATATTTGCCATAGTTGCCACGCTCAATAGGTGAATTGTTATCAGGATGATGCTGCAGCCTATATCCTGTTTCAGTTTCCCTTTGTGGTCATCACGCGCATTCTGATTGCAAATTTGTATATTCCAGGTCTACATCAGCGAGATATCAGTGCCAGATATCCGAGGCTGCCTTAGCGCCGTGCTCAAGATTGTGGGTCACCTTGGAGTACTGTTCAGTTTCACCATCGGCGCCTACCTCGACTGGCAACAGCTCGCGCTTTGCATATCAGCCGCTCCCTTACTTCTCTTTTGCACCGTGCTCTACATACCAGAAACACCGAGTTATCTCGTACTGACCGGTAGAGACGAGGAAGCGTACAAGAGTCTCCTCTGGTTACGGGGTCCCAACTCTGACGTAGCTCAGGAACTGGCTACTATACGAACCAACGTACTAGCGAGTAAGAACTTCAGTCAAAGGCAAAGCCAGATGTCGAGTAGTCAGCTCATAAGCTCACTAGATGTGAGAACAATGAACCGACTTCTTGGACCGATACTTGTGACCTGCGGATTGATGACCTTCCAGCGATTTTCTGGCGCTCACGCGTTTTCATTCTACGCTGTTCCGATATTCAGGAAAACTTTCGGCGGCATGAACCCTCATGGTGCGGCCATTGCCGTATCATTCGTGCAGCTATTAGCATCTTGTTTATCGGGACTTTTGATTGATACCGTGGGGAGGCTGCCGTTGTTAATAGTCAGCTCTGTGCTCATGTCAATGGCTCTAGCAGGCTTTGGGAGCTACGCATATTATGAGGAAGTGCACAGGAATCAGCGCATCCAAAACGTGATGTTCCATCAAACCGTTGGACAGAACGACTGGATACCGTTGCTCTGTGTGCTGGTATTCACGATCGCGTTCTCCTTAGGCATGAGTCCAATATCCTGGCTGCTGATTGGGGAACTGTTCCCTCTAGAATATAGAGCGTTTGGGAGCGCGATGGCCACAGCTTTTAGCTACCTCTGCGCATTCGTTAGTGTGAAAACTTTTGTGGACTTCCAGCAGGCGCTGGGCCTTCACGGTGCCTTCTGGTTGTACGCTTCCATAAGTGTGGGGGGCCTATGTTTTGTTGTTTGCTGCGTACCGGAGACCAAAGGCAAGGATCTGGACGAAATGGACCCGAATTATGTACAAAGTCTGTCACCTAAGAGGTAAATATGTAATGGTAATGAAATTGTTTAATTTACTTGGAAACATCTACGCTAATCTCTTTAAAAAAAGGGACTTTTTTTAAAGAGATTAGCGACCCGCCCTATCTTGGCCAGGGTGGAAAAGGATATTTATATTTACGATAACTAAACACCATTTCTTTAATAACAGTAGTAGTGCGACTGCTGATCATGAGGCCTGGGTTCGAATCAAAGTCGGGCTAAAAATCAATTATTGAGTTTTTCCGTCAACTTAATTTTATCGTAATGATTTCTTATATTTACGCGAATAGTACACATTGATTAAAACTATTTGTACATGTAAAAGTAGTTTTAATCAATTAATTTTATCGTTTTTATCGTACTTTGAAGTTAACTTTTAGTACTTTAATTGATAGAAACAAGCGTTACTTTGTGGAAATTCATTATAATAAAGATATTAATAGTTACTATGCAACCACCACTATTCTAGGAAAGACACACCATCGACGATAATATGACACGTGTTTCGTCTCTACACGAGACATCTTCAGGAGATGTGAGACCATCACGTTAAGCTGTCTAGTATATAGCCTAGCCATAGTGGAGTTGGGAGTAGTGGTGTTAGGAATAGTGGTGCTGGGATTAGTGGTGACGGGATTAGTGCACGCAATTGAGGGAGGGCGCGAGGGGCTCTTCAAACAAGGCAAGACACATCATTTTATTTAATTGAGCGGATGGTTGCAAAGTAACTATTAATATCTTTATTTTAGTACTTTTATTTTAAGTTATAATTATTCAATTTTACCACGTAATATCAACATCGTGTGCCGAATTAACGCAAAATATGTTTCCAAGTAAGTTAAAAATGTCCCGTATCTATCTAGTCCACCGCAAATGGCTGTGCTTATTAAATTTTTTAAAATTAAAAAAGATAACCACTTAATTTTAACGTGGTCCCTTTTGATCTTTAGGTATGAGTCGATTTGAAACTTATATATTTGCATATCCCTAATCCATATCTCGAATTATTTTAACCAGTCCTTAATTAGGGGGCATTACGTAAGCAGGCTTAAGGGCAAAGGAAGCGGGGGGAATATTAATATTTTTAAAACAATATTTATAATCTAAATGAATAATAACATTCTTACTATTTTCTTATTGTATACCGAATTTTTTGTCATATTTTTTTTAAATACAATAATTAAACGAGTTTTCCGAGAATTGACTACACTACCACATGAGTGAAGAAAAAATTCTTAACTTGGGGGAGCGGTTGTTCACAATTTTCTTATTTATGCTTATACGGGGGAAGGGGTTAAATCAATTAATTTGGGTTAAATCATAGAAAGTTTGCTTACGTAATACTTGTACGCCCCCTTAGTTATAATAAATCTTTCGATTAATGGCGGTCCATTCAATACCTCTTTGTAGAATCTCCTTAGATATAACCTAATTTAATTAATGTCGAATGTAAAACTATATCGATTTAAATTTATATACCTAAATAGCAAGCTATTTATTTCGTTAAGAATATTTTAGAATTAATTAGAATCAACTTATGCAGACACTATGATAAACAGTTTCTTCTCGAAAATAAGAAATTACAATACCTAATGTACATAGATAGAAGGACATATTACAACTTCAATGCATCTACAAGATTTTTATTGTGATTTATTCAAAAAACTGAAACAAATAACAATATGGTTACATGAGCTTTATACATTTGTGACATTAAACTGAGACAATAATATTTGTTATAGTAAAGACTAGGTAGCAAGATAAGTGTTGCTTAGTGCCATAATGCTCATTTTTAACTAAGAAAAAACTTAAGATTCGAATATCACATAATGGACATAACGTACATTTTCGTTACACACTTTAAACAGACGGACAAACATGTTATAAAACTTTTAAATCAAAAGTACTAATTTCACTAATTCAAACGTAGTACGTGAAGGTAATATGGTCATCCGGTTTATTTGGCCACTTTCTTATAACTCAAAAGTTACAGCCTTGTTTGCATAGATGGCTCTGTGATACGATATCTCTTCATCAGTCAATCAAATAATAAATGGTCAAATAGGTTCTAATATGGAGTGTAGAAGTCAGGACTACAGACTGTGTATTAAAAAGTGTCCATAGAAAACCGTTAAATAAGGGTGGCGCCACTATAGCTACGGGGTAAATTTTAAAGAACGCACCGAAAAATATTAGTGGGATAGACGACTTTTTCGAGGTTATATTTACAAAATAAAATTATTTTAGATTTTAGAGCTACTGAGCAGTTTAGCAGCACACTTAAACCGTCGACAACTGCCAAGTTCATTTCATCTCCAGCGCCATTCTACTATGGGAGTTGGTACTCCTTACTTCTACACTCCATAGGTTCTACTTTATCGACGTAATTTTGGCAGTAGACATTATAGTAGATATTTTACTCGATTTTAGTATTGTGTAGTGTAGTAAGCTTTTTTTTAATTTTATTTGTTGCTTATGATTGCCAAAGCGTGTTTGCTTCTTCTTAATGTATAAGTTTTCGTATACGATTTTGTGTTTTTGACTCTGTCCTCCTTCTAGCTTTGGTTTTATAGGGCGACAATGATTAAGGTGACCATATTAGACTTCCGTAACTTATACTTAATAATTTTTTAAAACACTATTACAATTTTCAAGCACCTCAAGTTTGTCCTCGTGGATCATATAAATTGATAATTTTATTGAAAATTGGATTTATGTATGCATGTTAAAATTAAGATTTGTTTTTCGTTTGCTTATAATTGGTCCCATGTTTATACCTAAATAATCAGCCGAACTTGTAAATGTTAATACCTAAACACCTAGTTTTATATTTGGAGCCTCAGACTAACAAAGAAATAAAGACGGAAAGTGTGTACATTTCTTGTGACGTAAAAAACAATCTAAACCATGACACGCTCTGACGTATCTACAGTAAGAAGAACCATCTCACATAGGAGAATAGTTGAAAAAGTGTCCATCTGTAAGCAGTAAATAACAGTTCAAAACTCTCCACAACAGCGCTCGAGTAGCTAGAGGGTATGAAATGAACTTAGCAGTTGTCGACGGAGTGAAATGTGCTGAGTTGACAAATTTAAATTTATGGTGACTAGAGTACTTAGTTGATGAAACTGCAGTATTTAAAACCTCAACTACTCACGTTGTCAAAAAAAAAATAGTAAATATAACCTAGAAAAAGTCGCTGTGAAACACGTTGAGAGTGATTTTGACAATAAAATAATTAATATAAAAAAGAATTATGATGAAAGTCTGAACAATAAAAAGTTATGAAAATTCTTTAAAATTTATCCTCTAGCTACAGTGGCGCCACCCTTATTTAGCGCTTTCCTACGGACACTTTTTGAAACAGAGACGGTTCTCCTAACTACACATCATGTTATGCATCCAAGATCATTTTCGCAACAACAAGGTATTTGGGTGCTTAGTAAACTTTTACGAGCTATTAATTAAAAAATAAGAAACATGTGTGCGTGAGTGCGTGTCAGAAGTCAGGCATGGTTTCAGAGTCACTTGTAATGACGCATTGTTTGTTTACTTCCTTGTTGGTCTGAGCTTAGGACATAAACATACAAGAATCAATTATTATGTGTAATTAATTAAGTAGGTATATAGATCTGTATTTTATTAGAAAATTGAAGTTAAGTGTCGTATTTGAATCTTGAAGAATTATAGATAATATTATATTTGTAGGTAATAAAAGGGGAGCAATTTTTATTCCCTTTCACATGATACTTATGATGAAGATTGTGTTAGCATTGTAATATTTTGCGATATTTGATCTTATTAGTAAAATGGCTTTAAATTGCAAAATAAACTAAATATGCTAAGTAGATACGTGTATTCTCGTAGAATTCTTCAATAAATGTAAAAAGAGGTAAAAATGTATACTTAACAATGAGTTTTTAAATATACTTAAGCTAAATCAGCGTCATCTAGCGAGGCCTAATGAAACTACTTAGAACTTGTTTTACTTTATTTTTTTGAGATGGGTATTACACAAAAGGTGTAAAAAGATGTCGCTATGTGACTGACATAACGATAATTATAGCTACAAAACAAAATAATATTGTAAAAACTTTCTTTGAAACTTTTATTTGAAAACCGTATTTAGTATATCTAGTCGAGAAGTAAGTTTAATATAGGAACAAAATGTTTGCGTTATTTGTTAAGAAATTGTTTATAAACAATTAGACAAGTTTAATATTTTTAAATTATTTTCCAGTTTATTATCATAGAAAAATGATGATTAAAAAAATCCTTAAATAAATGTTTAGAATTATATAGCCATAGCTCATATTTTTAGGAGAATTGGAAAGATTTTTCGCAGAGAACTCGCCTGTCGACCAAACTAGGTACTTATATCATTTAATCAAAATTTGCGCGCATTTACTTTTGTGGTTTAGATTTTAGCATTTTTATTATATTACTATATTTGACAAGTAATAAAATCCACCGTTAGTAAAATGTTGTATTTTTGCTAGATTATGTGCGTATATATCTCGTGCTCTTATAAATTAGCCGATCTCCATCTTAACAATTTCACTGTCTTATTTTAGACACAAAAGTAAGACAAAAGCAATGAATTATATGTAATGCACGGGACAGCGAATGGATTAATACATAGAATACTATAATACATACATAATAGAACGGGACAGTGGGCGGAGCCCGCGTAGCCACTAACATGTCAATTCACACGTATAAATGTCAACACGAGATGTGTTTTGATGTCACAATCGTTTCCAAATTTCCCATGCAAATTATTTAGAAAATGCCAAATTGCACCCTACTTACAAATAAACATGTACCTATTAAAATTTAAACGATTTTTTAATGATGATCTTGAGAATTAATCAAAAGTCTAAAATATGTAAATTTACTTAGTCTGATAACACAGCGAATCGGGTATGGCGACGCCAATCCTCGTATAAAATAAGGTTGACAGCAATTTTATTGTATATTATAGTATACTACGGGTTAACAAGC